TTCAGGTTTTAAACAACAGATAAATGTCTAAACCCCCCCCCCCCCGACGTGTAACACTCTCCTAGACCTCCTTCCCATGCTGTATCGACTGCCACTTAGTCCTTGATTGAAGCTTGTATTTGACAAGTAGATTCGATGGGATAGAACCTTCGTAGGCAGGTGGACTGGACAACTTCCATTTTGATGTGCTGAATGTCTCCAATGCTGAAGGTCTATGGTGCCTTTGGTCTCCAGTGACAGTGGTCCCCCAGTGACAGTGGTCCTCCAGTGGCAGTGGTCTCCAGTGGAAGATTAAGAATAAGACTGGGAAATGACGTCCAGGCCTTTCTATAAACCATGAAATGTTGCTCGGGCAGTCGTCCACTCTGCACCCAATAGGTACACCCAAGTCGGGGGGCACACAAATTTTAGACCTCTGCAGATCTTAATCCGGTAATGGTATTTTCTTAGAACTCTGGTCCACAGAGAGTACTGGATACAATAACTACAAAACTTCTGATGTATAAATTATACTAGCTAAGAAAATATTAAAGGAACCTCAGCAAATGCCTTTTTATTCCAAATAAAAAACAGAGTTGTAGCTGCTCACTTTAACTTAAAGAGCCACAGGTTGCTGACCACTGCCTCAGAGTTGTAGCTGCTCACTTTAACTGAAAGAGCCACAGGTTGCTGACCACTGCCTCAGAGTTGTAGCTGCTCACTTTAACTGATGAAAGAGCCACAGGTTGCTGACCACTGCCTCAGCTTGCCTGGACTTAAAAAGTGCGGCCATTTGATTATTTCATTCTCAATAATTTATTTTGCAGACTTATTTTATTCCAATCTTCTGCCCCTACTAAGGCTTGTTTGGACAGCTTTAAAAATTGCAAAATGTCTAATTAAATAACATTTGGGAAAAAAAAAAATCCTTAATCTCAAATTGCGGTACCGGTAATACAATAATTGTGCATAGTTCAATTATTTTAAGTGTAAGGCAGTCATTTTTATCATTTTAGCAAGCAGCCAATGGCAGATGCTTGATGGCGACATGAGTTGCTAAATTAAAAAAAGTCATTGCATACTGCGGGTCTATGTTGAAAATAATTCAAACTCCACACAGATTGATCAACATTAGAAAAAGATTTTAATTCATGTAATAGAAATCTGCAAACAACAGTACTCTACTTCTCACTCTGCTTCTCACTCTACTTCTCAAAATCGTTCATAGTTAAGATCCTGACAAACTCCATTCAAATATTAATTTTACAACAGACAGGCTCAGCCATGACAGGCTCAGCCATGACAGGCTCAGTAATGTAAAGATGTATTCCAAAATGTGAACCAGTTACAAATAAATGGCTAAATTCTGCATTACCGTCTCTCAATTACCTGGAGTTAAAAATAAGCGGCCCTGGTTAAGATGCATTGTCAAGATACTCACACTCAAAACAAACGAATGTTAGAGGTTTTAGGGTCGCATTGGTAAAAAAAAAATGAACTTGAGGCACAATACTTGGTGATTTAATCATACTCATTATAAATCTTTTGATTTATCAGGTTCAGTAATCTATTTGGTGTGCCAGCCCCCCCCCCCCACCCCACCCAATCAGGATCTCTACAACCGAATTCCCTTTGCCATCATCAGACAGTGAATAGAAAGAACAAAACAAAATAATCTCCTCTTTCATGAATTCTGATTCATACTCATTATAAATCTTTTGATTTATCAGGTTCAGTAATCTATTTGGTGCGCCAGCCCCCCCCCCCCACCCCACCCAATCAGGATCTCTACAACCGAATTCCCTTTGCCATCATCAGACAGTGAATAGAAAGAACAAAACAAAATAATCTCCTCTTTCATGAATTCTGATCATAACCCACGTCAATATAAATCAAGAAGCCTCAGAATTTTGATATCAAAGGAGCGGGAATGACAAAAAACTAATTTTTTAAAACATTTCTCACAAAATTAAAATGGTTTGAGCTATTGCTGCGCCTGCAGTTTGCTATTACTGCAATCCTTATTTTTTAAAAATTTCATAATTATGTACAGGCATCTAAAGTATATCTTCACAGCACTATACAACCATCCATTCCCATATTAATAGAGGTAACAAATGCAGCTAATTCATCTACCTCCCCCCCCTCTCTCACCCCATCACATGCGTATGTACAAATAAAATTTGCAGCAATGGCCACCACCTGTGCCAGAAAGACAATGACGCCAGACAGATCAACAACAGCGGACATCTTCTTCAGCCAGCTCCAGGACGTGATTTATCAAAGTAATCTTTCGCCTCATTGATTTTAGCTGCAAGGTAGGGGGAGCCACCTGTGACACACAAAAAAATTCAGTGAAAAAGTTTTTATTATTGTTGTGTAGAGCAAAAGGTGTCAAATTAGACAATGTATTTTTAGAGGTTTAATTTTTAACAATCCATTATTTGAGGTTTATTCGTATTTCATTATTGCAAGTTGAAGTTTAGTAAATATTTTTGTTGATATTTTATATAAGATATTTTATTTTTTAAAAAGTTTAATTTTTAACAATCCATTACTTCAGGTTTAATGATAAGGACTACAAGATTGCTGGTTGAATTTTAGAAAATATTTGTGTTGACATTTTATATAATATAAGATATTTTATGTTATTAGAGGTTTAATTCGAGGAAAGGTTATTGAAGATTATAAAGTAAAATTTTAGCAGATGTTTATAAGTTAAGTGTCACAAATCTTAAAGGGAAGCTGTTTAAAAGAAATCATAGTTTCGAAGAAAACTGACAATTTATTCACTAAATATAATTTATATAAACAAGCAGAAGTGTATCACTCTTGCACATTTTTCAACATCAGCGCTTGATAAGCAAATGACATCTGATAGCACTGACCAACCTCCATGGTATATCAAACACAATGAATCGAGACTGACCCCAGCACATATTACATCTATGTATAGAGTATATAAAGCTAAGTGTTTTATGTTTGTTTGTTGGTTTAGCCTTTCAGCCAACAAACTGACTGACTTATTCCATCACATGTTATTTTAGATCTTTCATCACTTGACCACAGTTCAACCCGCACAGTATATCTTGTGACCCACAAAAAGATCAACTCTGACAAGAAAAAACATTTTCCGTTCCATCTTTTCATTTCTTAAACTATGGTTATTTCCCCTTCAAAAGAAGAGAAGGTTGTAATTATTTACAATTAATTTTGGAGCTGAAGGGGCTTATAGTGTGTAAAGATGAACCCAGATAGAACATTCTGACCCGAGGCAGGGATATTTTCATCTCTCCTAGCAACTGGCACTTACCTCTGTCAGGATGATTGAGTAACATAATACGCTTGTGAGCTTCCTTGATCTTCAGTTTGCTGGCTGATGGACTGAAATAAGTAGAGCAGGCTAAGAAAATCAATTGTGAACATCTTGTAGGAAAAATGTGACATAAATGGAAAAAAAGCATGAATTAACAAAAAAAAAATTTTTACAAAAAATTTCAAAAGATTTAAATATTTAATCATATTCTTCAAAATATATATCACAACCTGCAGTAATTTTACATTCTATGAAAGATTCTAGAATTTTTATAATACTCTCTTCTTCTACTCTACCTTAAAAATTTTTTAAACCTTAAAAAACATTGCATGTTTTAGAAGAAAAAACAAAGACTTAGTTAGCCTATTTTGTCACGCAAAAATTACCTTTACAGACCACCCCCCCCCCCCCCCCCCCCGACACAAAGTATCACAAATTCTTTACCCTCTCACCCCCAACCCCGTGTCACGTTATACCTAAAGAAATTCAAAACGTACATAAAATTTTCATAACTAAACTAAGACTTTATTTTATTCTTTAACATTTTCTCATAATGGATTAAGATGTAGTATTATTAGAAAACTGTGACGTAACACACAAAAACAACGAAGTCCTCCCCAAGCCGAATGTAAAATGGCCACAACAGTTTTTGCTTCATTTTTCGATATGCGCAGAAGGTGTGCGCGACTGAGTTTATGATACTCATAATACCTGAGGCGATTTCGACCTCAACTTAATGTTTTTAAATTTAGTTTAATAAAAATTGTTCAAAGTTACAAAACTTTAGATTAAAAAAAAAAAAAATAAATAAAAAAATGTGTGACGTCACAAATTTTTTAACACCCCCCCCCCACACAAATTCTTGACCACCTCCCCTCCCCCCCGAGCATGACATAATTTGCAAAAGACCCCTTATTTGACATTGTCCACTTGCTATTTAACAATATTTTTTTCTTCACATATTCCAAGATTCAGTTCCAGTTTGGGGCTCGGCAAGTAGGGAAGTGGGGCTGTTGTGATTTATGAGAACTGACCAATAAGAGGACTAAAATTAGCAGCTAATTATGAGGACTGACCAATAAGGGAACTAAAATTAGCAGTACCAATTTCTACATTTTCCCATTGAAATTTGTTTGAATTTTAATGAAAGGTGGCAAAAGGTGGTATTATAAATGAAATTGTTCAGAGAAACAATGAATACAGCTTGACTTAACATGGATTTGCACAATGCAGGGAGAAGAAAAAAAAAGGGGGGGGGGGATACTTAAAAATCATGGCTAGGCTTATCAATTATAAAGGATAAAGTGTTCATTAGATTAGAAAATTCAAAGCAATCCATCACAAAATGAAACCCCCAAAAAAAGACTAATTCGGCTTAAAGATATTAAATTTTTTATAAGCTCTAATTTCCACATGTGATGTCACAGTTATAAAATGATTTCCTTAGCTACACCAGACTTGCTTAAGAGACCAAGATAAGATGCACTGAAGAAGTTTTACTGTGAAGACTAAAAAAAGAATGTCTATCACTAACCTGACTCCCAAAATAAGACCTGCCTCTCTTTTACTCATCTGAGGCTCAAAGCCGCCCCTATAGTATTTACTAAATGACTGTTGAAATATGATAAAAAAGACATCTATTATTTAAACATATATATAGATATATAAAAATATGCACACATTTATCATAAGACACATTTATAACTAACTATCAAAAATAAACATGTCAAATTAATAATGAGCAAAATGAAAGATAATTATAATTATTATTAATACAGATTTCATGGGCTAAGAAAAATGTATCTTCTTGATGGTGAGAGGTCCGTATGGGACAGTGGAAAGCAAAATGTTTGGAATGCAGAGTAACTTGGTGCTGGTGAAGCAAGCTAAGGTGTGTCTTTATCAAACTGTCATATGAAATTAAGGTTTATTTACTGGTAAAAAAAGTAAATAGATATTTTTTAACCCCAAGTGTTTGATCCAGGCTTATTAAAACAATTGTTTTAATATAAAATATAGTATTCTACAGAAATAAAGACAATTTTAATAAAGACAATTTTAGCTTATATAAAAAAAAAAATATTATTTTCATTTTATAAAAACGCATTATAGAAAAACTTACTCCCTGAGGCAGTTCTCCTATTGTCTGTGTAAATGTCTGTTGAGCAAAGCGACCAGCCCGGTAGGCATAGCGACCTAGGATTGATAAAATAAGGCTATAAGAGGAGGACCTGATTGAATGATGAATCTATCTTCACAATATAACCATTATAATCACAGCTTTGAAGCCCAGTAAACTTAATGACAGCGTAGAAGTTGAAATTAACATTAAAATTATCTAACGGTGTCCAAACATCAGCATTATATCAATTTAAAGGAAATGCCATGCTGATTGGCTAGAAACTTGGTCTGAGAGACATCCAGATGTATGAGGACAAGGTGAGAAGAATGAGGTGTTCCTGATCAGACTTGTTGATGATGATTGATGACTTGTAAGCATTTGTCTCCATGCTATTCTAGCATGCTCAAAGCATTCTGATGTCATAAATCTATTTTAGGAGAAAAATATCTTTAAATATCACTTAAGTGATTTTTTATGATTTTTAATTTCCCTCTAAGATTGAGGCAAACTGTTCCATAATTTGGGTGCTATTGCTTCAAAAGAGTGCACTCTGTATAACATCTTTCTGTATCCATCCGTACTGGGAACTCTCAGTAGGGACTGTGATAAAGAGCGCAGGTTCTTTAAGGATACATGTTTGAAAATCAGTTCTTTTAGTCAGGTGCAGAGTTTTCCATACAGCTGAACGCCAGGGATGCATTTGTGGTCAATGCACTCACTCACAGTAAGCCAGTGTAGATCTTTAAAGAGTTGGGGTGATATGGTCAGTTTCTTTCTCCGCGTTACAATGTGTACTACATTATCTTGTACCATCTGGAGTCTCTGAATTTGGTTTTGAGGTAAACCCCACAGACAACTATTACAGTAATCTAATCTTGATTGGATTAGAGTGACTGTTACGGCATTGGGTGCTCTCTGACCCAGGGCACGTAGATGATAGAAACAAGCCCTGTTCCCCTTGCCCATGTCATTTGGTTCCTAGCAACAGGAACTGCTTGACTTAGCCTGATGAGTTAACTTCCTTAGCCTTTGACTTTTACAGTTGATTTCATCATTTAGCACTTTTGTTAAATTCAATTAGTTGAAAACATAGCTGGGCTAGACCAGTCTGGCATTGATGAAGGTCTGATTTGTTCATCACACCCCTCCCCCACTTTCAACTTGACTATTTCTTCAAATGTCACTGTTAAACAAAATCTCACTACATAACGTTGTCTTTACACTTTACCTGCAAATCCTATGGCTGCTAATCCAAGGCCAGCCAAAATAAGTCCTGTGGCCTGTAAAACATAGAAAACATGTATGCCTACAAATGATGCATATTTTATTATAACAAAATAATTTATGCTTTTGTTTCAAAATATATACAAAATTGCAAAATGGAACATGATCATCATGTACTATGAGTAACAGTCTATTCTGAAACAGGAAGAATCCAATTTAATGCATATCACCAGGACTTGCGGCAAGAAAAAAATAAAACCCTTATTAACTATTATTCCTTGGGCTTAACTGCCCCACCAGTCACTTCGTAAAATTTAAGTATTATTACTTTAGTTAAGGTTTCAGGTTTTATCCTTCCTGACCCCCACTCCCCTACCATGTTAGTAAGTATAAGGGTTAGCAAGAGGTGAATATATTGAGAGATGAGTGTTGAAATCTGTCTGTCTATGAGTGTAGAAATATGTCTGTCTATCCTTACAATGTTACACAAATGACATAACATCATAAGAGATATCTTATATAAAAATATATAATAATTATTATATCTTATACTTATAGGCCAATGATATGTTTAGGCCTAAACATAAGATCTGGGATAAGGCTATCAATAAACCAAATGCAATGATCAATGTTAACCAAGTAGCCTGTCATTTTTTTATTTAGGCTTTAACCTACAATTATAATGAGGTAGGGTACAGTCAATACAGACAATAGTTATAACTCAGTTTTAAGCCAAGGATTGATCTAGCCATAAGGCAGACAATGTCTTCCATGTTATAAAGATAGATCATGGCGGCATCCTGGATCAACTTCCGGCTATAGTTTCATTTACAAAAAGATTTTGATTTTTAGCTTTGATACTATTTTTTACATCCTTTTTTATTTGTGCCTTTGGGGAGGGGTCTCCCCTGCCCAGAAAATTGTTTCATTCTTTTTTATATTGAAAGTGGTGGGAGGGAGGGGAGACCTCCCCCCGAAATTATGTTGAAATTTACAATAAAACGTTGAAATGATAAAAATGAATAGCATACTGAAACTGGTACTTTTTTTTCAGCCAATCAAAACAGCACTTTTACTTTTATCCATATGCGCGTCTTTGGATTATTAACAAGGATGAGTTTCTCTTTTTTCATTTCCTTTGCCTTTGAACCTTTTAATTAGAATTTTAATTTTTTTTTATTGAAAATGTCCTTTTAATATTTCATATACATTGGGACTTGGATAAGCAAATGAGCTTTATTGATTGTCAGGTTTAGTTTATTATGCAAAAAATGCTCAGAGGAGAACGGAAAGTTATCACTACACACTGTTCAGGTCCAACTCTTGGTCTCTTCATCGAAGTTTAGTGTTGGGACTCCCCATTGTGAAATCACTGTGCTTAGACTTAGACAACTCTTTGCAAAACCCATACCCCTGACCCAATCTTTACTAACTTACACCTATTATAAAATTTTTAACCCTTTAAAATACTATTTTAAATTAAATAGTGTAACAATGTTAGCAATCAGCAGGCACTTTTCAGATTTTCAGACTAAGTTCTTGCCAAAAACTTTCAAATTCAAGTTAAAGTCATTAAAGTAACGTCTACTAAACAAAGAGTCTAAGACGTATAGTGAATAGTTAGCCTACTAATACTAGAGTGGAGTCCTGTAGACTGAACAAAAGTTGTCGCAAGTATGACATTTCATAATTTATCCTTTATTCCATTTATTGACATTGAACATCATTGGACTTGGTGATGTAGTAATTGGACGGAACAGCCTACCATTTGCGGTTTTACTTCACGAACTTGAGGCTCGTCAAACGCATCTAATCCAGCGCTTGGCATTGATATTCAATTCAAACAGATGAGGTAAAGATTGTATTATTAAACAGATAGCTTTTAGGGCCTTAAAACATCAGGGTTGAAATGACGAAATCTCCATCTCATGTGGGACCTCTCTGTTGTTTACCCTGAGTCAGTCGTATTACCGACATTCAAGACTGAACCTCCAGATACATTTTTTTTTTTTAAATGATAAGGCAGATTTTAGATCGACTGTAGAAAATATAAAACAAATTATAAAAAATTGATATAAAATTTAATTTCAAAAGAGAAGAAATTATTTTAAAAATTGAATAATCTTGTCGGACATACAAGGGTGAAAAAGTTTGACTTTAATTTTTTGAGTTTGAAATCAATTTCTACTTTATTCAAGCCCTAGTCGTTGTTTTATCTTGGGGTTGAAATTATGTTGATGTAATATTAAATTAAAGTCTAGTTAATATATTTTTAATAATAAGTATCTAGGCTTTAAATGGGGCAAATTTTGATCTAATATTATTATCACTAGGGACCAAAGGTATTGAACAGATTCACCTTGGCTACATCTCGAAATTTGGTAAGATTCGGTAAGAGGAGTAACCCTCACTTATATGATCAACAATAAATCTAACCAAAATTAAGCAAATTCACAAGTCTTATGTTTGTTCTTGCAGTTCGGCTTTTTGCATAGATAAATATGTTAGAAGACTTGCTGAGTGGGGTTGAAAAAAGTAGATTTGTTCTTATAACAGGTTGGTGAGGTCTAGAAGGGTAATAAGGGGAGAGACTGCGGTAAATTACGAGGACGAATGCCACTATTTTATCGAATTTCACGAATGAGTCGAAAAACTCGAATGTATCCCTAAATCGATCCCTATGCCTAACCTGAACCCGAAATCGATCCCTATGCCTAACCTGAACCCTAAATCTATGCCTAACCTGAACCCTAAATCTATGCCTAACCTGAACCCGAAAGCGATCCCTATGCCTAACCTGAACCCTAAATCGATCCCTATGCCTAACCTGAACCCTAAATCGATCCCTCAACCTATCCTAAACCCTAATTCACTGTACCAACTATAATAAACACCCAAAAGACACAGTGGCATTCGTCCTCAGATTTAGCCCAGAAGGTAATCAGGTCAGCACAATATGACGATATCAATATGAAATTAGTAAAACAAAGTAAGTTAGTAAGTTTTAGTAAGGTTAAACATGAAAATGGAACGCAACAAAACAACGAACGTGTCGGCAGGAAGCCTTCGTCAGCGAACAAAACAGAATAAAATTAAAAAATAGCTCTTAGCTTAGAAGTAGTATCAAAGAGGGTCAGGGCAGCAAATGAATTGTGACAGAAAGTAAGTGTGTGAGAGATTAAATAGGGAAGAGGGAAAGAAAAGAGGAGAAGTAAGTCCCTGCGATAGGTTGAAACGTGGACCGTAGTGGAGGGGTGGAGCTAGGTTCAAGCTATGAAAAGAGACATGACATTAATACCATGTGTTAGTGTGCCATATTTCAGGGTAATCTTATGTTCCAAATTCATCCAGCTGGGTGTATTTGTGCTAGCCATGATCGCACATATTGAAAAGTCCGCCTTGCCCTGGTGGTCGCTACTATTGAAGTGTTGGAGACAGGACACTGTTTATCTTGCGTAATGTTACGGAGGTGTTCGGTACACCTGTCAGAGACTCGGCACCCTGTCTCCCGCGTTCTAATGTATGCCATTGTCTGCACCCGCTGTCAGATGTCGTACATAGGGGAGACAGGGCGCCAACTCTCTGACAGGTGCACGGAACACCTCCTTAACATTACGCAAGATAAACAGTGTCCCGTCTCCAAACATATACTCATACACATTGAGTTTGAGTTGTAATTTACTTGTCAACAATTACTACATTGAGTTGTAATTTACTTGTAAGCATTTACTCAAGTCCAGTCTACTCTATTGTTACTGCTTGTTATCCCACTTCAAAAAAGTAATTTAATTGGCGTTTTAGGTTTTAAATCTGGTAAAACCATGTAAGTAAAATTGGTTTTCTTGAGAGTGTCACCCTAAGTCCTAAGACTTACTCAGGATAGGCAATACTATAAACAAAGAAAATAAAAATAATAGGGCTCCTTGTTGAAAGTTGTTGGGTTGGAGATAATTTTACTGTTACTGGTTCTGAATATTTGGTTTTGATATTCAAATCACCAGGCTCTACATCTAAATCTAAACATATTTTTTGCCTATCTAAAATAGCTTTACTAGTCTAATAGGAATAACTTTTGTTGTTAAGGGACATTCAAAACTATTGATCACTGTAACAAAATGTATTTAAAAATCTGAGCGTAAAAACACAGTACGTCCTCCCAAAAAGATTTGTCATTTGAACAAGTGCATTGGCTTATGTTTAAATTTCCACCTTCTCTTATTAAACCATCTATAGTGGGGTTACAGTGAATAATTTTCTCTTTTTTTCTTTTCTCTAGATGCAGCTGAATCCTGTGGAAGACATTTCTTCATGAACTGGGTCATAAATGTGGCTAAAAGGTCAGCTTCCATCTTTTTGCCCTTGCTTAATGTATAATTTAAGTCAATTTTTATTATTATTATATTTTAAAAATAAAGATAATAATTAAGATTATTGAAGTGATAATTAAAGACATGTAACCAACGTTTGCTGTTGATTGATACATTTGTTTTTATTATTGTATTTTGCAGGTGTGATAGAGTGGTGTTGGTTTGCTTTGAACGTGTGCCTGAGTTCTTTTTAAACTGGCTACCCCAAGATCTTCAAGAGAAGTAACTTTTTAAGTAACATGTTAAAAATTAAATTTTAATTTACCTAAATTATGTATATACCGGTATTATTATTATGTTGAAGATTACCCTATTGTTAACATTTTATTGAGTTATTGAAAAAGAAATGGAAATTATTATTTATTGTGGCTTTCATGCAGTGAAGTTGGTGTTGTAGGGGGGTGTCATAAATTTCTGAAAGAAATGTGTTAGGTGATGGTCATTGAGAAAAATTGTATGACTGATTAATATGAGATCCTGTCATTGTTTGTTAAAATATATTTTAACAGAATTATTCCCATTAATGGAAAAAGCACAATTCATTATCCCCTGAAGGATGACACGAAAGATCTGCTGTTTGAAGCCATCTCAAATGCCTTGTTGAAGACTCGTGGCCAGTCGGCAGTTCTAATAGACTCTCTCACACTTCACATGTTACTGAGACAGCCACCTTCAACATGCAGTACTCTGCATAAGCTGAGCACGTGTAAGATTTAGTGCCAACGGTACCGTATTAAAAAACTTACGATTTAAAAAGAGGGTTTTGGAGCAAAGTTGGAGTTTGGAGCATCGTGATTTTGTTTGTTTTGATGTAACTCTTTTTTTTTTGGTGATAATCCATTGTTATTTAAGAATGGATTCATCCCATCCTCTATTACAGGCCTGCATAACTTAAAATGTAAGAAGGCGGGCCGCAATACTTTATGAAATACTTGTGTGGGCCGAAATAAAAATAGGACAGGGGTAAAAGCTATTAAGAAAATAATAAAAGAATATTTCTTTACTTCGCTGGCTGCAAAATGAGTGCTGGCAGATCGCATGCGGCCCGCTGGCCGTATGTTGGGCAGGCCTGCTCCATTATAACAATGTATGCTGTCGGTTTTCTTTACTTACAATTCTGCCTGGTCCCTTAGACTTACCCAAAACATTAAGGCCAACCTTGATGTACATTTACAGTGCATGGTGTGACCCAAGTGGTGGCGGTAATTCACAGGGATGTTCATGACACCCATACATGCAGTATCGTTGGTTCTATCGCCTCAAGTGTCATTGATATTCATTCATTGTCAGGATCTAGGCATACATGTAAAATAAGGCACTGCAGGATTACTGGGAAGGTGTTCAAAACGGTATGAATTCTCATTCTGCGTTTATGGTAATGCTACAAAAGTGATTTTGGTTTTTTTTTAAAGAATTTTTCAGTGTATGAGTAATGGGCGAAGTTTGATGTATTAATGGACAAAGTTTGATGTATGAATGGGCGAAGTTTGGTGTATCATTGGGTATTGGGTGAAGTTTGATGTATGATTGGGCTTTAGTTGCTTTGGTTAGTCTTAATCCCTGTGCAAGTAGCTGAGGTTTTAGTGTACATTTCAAGTACTAGTCTCATTGGCACAATATGATTATTTTAGGACTTTGAGAAGTTAATAATTCACAATTAATTTTGTCTCAAGTAATTTTTGATGTCTTTTGTAAATTCCAGACAGAGAGGTTCTCAATAGATTACAATTTTCACATAAAAGACATCGGACCACTGTTACCTCATGAGAGACCTTCCCAATCTCAACCATTAGTTAAGGTTCTTAAATAATTTTTTTTTTTTTTAAATGTGAATTTTTTGTTCAGTGTTTGGAGTATGTTTAGCTAAAAGAAAGCAGATGTTCTTAATAATTTTTTTTTTACCGTTGATCGTCATTGATAATCTATTGAATCCTTGGAGGGTCTATGAAATCCAGATTAAGAACCTTGATTTGAGTCTTGTCATTATTTCTATGACCAAAGATGTATTTAATTGTTCAAGTGTTCAGACTTTGTTGATTTGACAGAAAATAAGTAAATTAAAACGGGTATTTAAATTTTTATTCACCATTTCACAGAGTGACCCAATGGCTCACCTCTCATTTAACTTATCCCTCACTGAGACAGAGAAGCAAGCAAGAAGTCAGGTCAAGCTGCCCTATCTACTGGATGAGTAAGTTCATCGTTACTATTATCGTGTTACTTTTTTGGTTGTCCTTTGCAGGGAGGCCATCAGTGGAGCCCACACAGCTGATGCGATACTATTGTAGCAAATTAAAATAAATTAATGAAAATTTACCATAAAAATTTACTGTTCCCACTGCTTGTGTAAGAAGTTTTTTTTTAATTTTTTAGCAGTTTGCTCTTCTTTGCCTTTCCATTAGATTCGAATAGAATATGAACTCTGGACAATGAGAGTTGTCAGTCGGTGTTACAATCGTCCTAAATTAAACCCTCACTTGCCTGTCATAAGCAAAAGTTGATTTATTTTAATATTTAAATTAATCAAAGTATTGGTTGTTCTTTTAAGTTTCGTCTTTAATTTTTTTTCAGCTCTGGTGATAGTTCAAATAATGAGCAACCTTCCAATGCCAGGATTATCTACCATCCAGATGATGTTGATGATTTTGATGAGGAGGATCCAGACGATGACCTAAATATTTAGATATTGTCAATAAATTATCGAGCTAGAAAAATGTCATTTTGGTTTGATCTTATTTTTGTTTTAAATTTAAAAGACAAAACGTTTCCTTTAAAAATGGATAAAATATGTGCCAATTAAAGCTGGTCAAAAACCTCAGTGAATATTTCATGTAAAAGATGAGTGGAGAAATCTGAATGTCCCAATCAAAAACAATAAGGGACATAACATCATACCGAACTATTTTATATAAAAAGATATCATATCTTATCTTATGGGCCAATAGTAAGATTTGGGACAAGCGCAGGTCGATTTTGCATTCTTGACTTCTCCAAGGCCTGCCACACTGTTCCACACAGCCTTCTTCTACACAAGCTCCACGGCTACTGCATTACCGGCAACCTTCACTCCTGGCTCTCAACATTCCTAACACAATGGACCATGCAAGTAGTGGTAGATGGTGTCCGATCAGGCAAAGCCACCGTAGACTCAAGAGTTCCTCCAGGCACAGTGCTGGGCCCCGTTATCTTTCTCTGTCAAATAAACGACCTCCCTGATGCTGTAAAATCTCAAGTGAGGCTGTTTGCAGATGTCTGTCTTGTCTACAGAGAGATAAGCGGCGACTATAACAACCACCACCAAGCAGAATTGAAGTGTCTTATGAATTGGGCTGACAAATGGGGCATGAAATTTTACGAAACCAAATGCTACACAATGAGCGTCTCGAGAAAAAAACCATCAACCTATATGTACTCCCTAAGCAAGACAAGTATCAAATAATCCATACCTTGCAATTCTTTTCTCGAATAACCTAAAATGGTCAACCAATATATAAAATTTTTAGAAAAGCCAACTCCACACTTGGTTTCATTTGAAGAAATCAGCGCTACTGCCCAACCTCCTGATAACAAAATGCATATCTCGCACTCGTCCGTCCGCTACTAGAATATGGTGTGATCATCTGGGACCCATACCAAAAGCAAGACATGGACAAGATGTAGCAAGTCTAACGTGACGCAGTGCGCTTCATCACACGTGACTACACTCCTGACTTCGTCATTGGCCTCTTAAAAAGATTTGACATCCCCTCCCTTTTGACATACGAGAAAAGTTGCCCCTAACATTCTTATATAAAGTGGTCATGGGGCTAGTGCGGCCATCCCAGCAAACAGAAGCCAGGTCGCTTAATGAGAGCCAAGCGCTCACCCGAACACTGACTTCACCTCTAAAGTCTAACAACCCCATAAGCAATTTCATCTGGAACAGTAGCAAATGTTTCACTGGGCCTCGGTGTAACACAGTGCAATATAAATGATCATTCTTCCCACAATCAATAATGGCTTGGATCCACCTGGACAATGCCGCCGTGGACTCGACATCAATCAAGAGATTCAAGGCTGCCCTGGTATCCGCTAGGAGCCGTTAGGATATCAGCATCGCTTCCCCAACAGTTGCACATATGCCAGTACATGGATTTAGCAACATACCCTACCAGAAGCCTAGGCCTAACAATAAACAGAATGCACTGATAAATGTTAGCCAGGTAGGCTTTTTATTTAGCCTGCGGATACTAAATTGATTACACTCATTTTAAAAAAAATTTGTTTATTACTTTTCTTCTCCACTTTTTTTTATAAGGCTTTGCTGATTCAGACTGGTGCAAAGCAAGTCATACAAATATGGCTCCACAGATAATAAACATTGCTGATCTTCTCTATGTTGTGTTAAGTCATGCTGAGCTCCTCTATGTTGTGTTAAGTCATGCTGAGCTCCTCTATGTTGTGTTAAGTCATGCTGAGCTCCTCTATGTTGTGTTAAGTCATGCTGAGCTCCTCTATGTTGTGTTAAGTCATGCTGAGCTCCTCTATGTTGTGTTAAGTCATGCTGAGCTCCTCTATGTTGTGTTAAGTCATGCTGAGCTCCTCTATGTTGTGTTAAGTCATGCTGAGCTCCTCTATGTTGTGTTAAGTCATGCTGAGCTCCTCTATGTTGTGGAGCTCCTCTATGTAGTGTTAAGTCACGCTAGTTACAAAAAGCCACACACTATAAGCAACTACTTCACAAATCCATTTCATTGCTAATATCACTCCAATTTAATCTGTTAAAAAATGTTTTTTTTTCTTTTCAATGTTTCATTAATACCTGACATTAAAAAAATAAAACATTTAGTGACAATCTCACAGGTCATTTTGTTTTCGCAAATAAGAAAAGTATGTGTAAAATGATCAAACCAACCAACACCACAGACCTAATCATGATAAATATTTTTAATGTTAAAAAAGTATGCATCAATCACCAGTGAAGTTCAAAATGTTAGGGTTTAAAATAAATGGTGACATTTTTTTATGAACAACTCTCATATTTACATATAAAAGGAAGTATTTAATAATAAAATGATAATGTATGCGCATGATATAAAATGTTAGGACACTTGATTTAATAGTATACCTTAATACAGCAACATCAAAATAATAAATTACAATAATGCATAGGTCAATACTAGGATGCCAACAAACCTACAGAAGCTTAATAAAAGCACAACTGATAAACGTCATGGGGGGGGGGGGGGGG